TGTTTTATCTTTTGGCAATAATCATTTCAATTTCTTCTTAAATATACATACTTTCTTATTTCCATTTTGTCATATTTTTTTAATACAAATTTCACTTTTTTACATATCTTCTTTGGATTCTTATCCTTGATAAATTGACAAGACTGCACTTATAATATGAAAGCTTTGTCTTTTTTTTAAAAAGAGTAGATTAAGTTTTTTTTCTTAATAAGACATAAGTATATTTAAAGTTGCAAATTACCCTCTTCTAAACTAGTATTGTTTTTAGCATTTTCTTTGTTATCAAGTCCTCTCTTGTACTTGTTATGAGCAATATTAGACATCTTCTTTTCTCTTGTAATACCATGACAAAGCTTGTTGAAATAAAGAATACAATGGCACAAATGCAAGAGCAATTGAGGATTTGATTAGGTGTTATTGATAGTTTAGAATTTAAAGAGACAACTTATAATAACCTTATTAATATAATCAAAAAGAATAAAATTTCTAAAAAATATTAGTATATTTTTTAAAAAATTAGTTTTACTAATAAAAAATTATATTAAAAAGAATCAATGATTAAAGATAAATTCTTAAAATGTAATATTTTTAAAGATAAATTTAAAAAAAAAAAAAAAAAACAAAATTTGTCTTTTAAAAAGCTAGACAGAGTGTTTAAATAAATAATTGTTATTAAATATAAATCAAAACCTAATATTCAATCAACAAAAATAAAATTGATTCTATCTTTAAAAACATGATAGAAGAATCAATTCTTAAATATGTATTTAACCAGTTGATACTTATTTTTTAAAAAAAATAAAGAAAAAAAGATACAAAAATCATTACCTTTAATAACAACATCCTCATTAAATATTAATTTACCTTGCAAAAAAGATCTAACTATCATACATAAAATCAAATAAGCAAAGTTTTTAAAATTAAAATTACTTATTTTTATTTTAAATATATCTATATATATATATATATATATATACATATATATATAAAAGAAGAAGAATCAATATTAATAAATAAAAATAAGAATTATCTATTAATCAATTGGAACTCAAGTATCTACATACTAGCAAGTCAAATAATGCAATCAGATTTAAAAAGGACATTTTTTGTAAAGAAAAAATTCTAATTAGTGTGAAAACGTAGAAGCAAATAGAAAAGAAAATTTATAAATAAATAAATGATTATGACTAAATAATTTAGTTAAAGAACAAATAAAGGATAGATAAGGTGAATTGAAATTAAGGAGACTATAGATAAGAGAATACATTTCAGCATTTTCAAAGACTAAAGAATGGCAAATCACTAGCTATAATTAATGAATCAAATTATATATTAATATATTTAATTATTTTTTAATTAAATTATAAATATAATAAACAGTGATAGAAGTAAGATAAATATAAGCAACTACCAACATTTCTGAAATCAAATCAAAGGTTCTACAACATAGTTAATAAAATAGAGTTAGATTGTTTTTTTTTATAGTCCAAGTTTTTAATGCCAAAAAATAATTTAAAAAAAAAAAAAAAAAAAAAAAAAAAACTAAACTAAACTAAACTAAACTAAACAAAAACTAAAGAAGAAGTTTTTTCTTAAATCAAATTGATCTATATCAACATATTCAGCTTAAGTCAATTAAGGTGAGAAATACCTCCTTAATATACTTATTTTTTAAATATGAATTTAAACATGCTTTTTAATATATACTTCTAGCCTAAAAATCTCAGAAAATATTTAAATCCTTTTGTAATAGCATTTAAAGGTTAACATTTATCTTAAAAAATGTAAAAAAATTGAAAATATTCCATAAATCTATTAATTCTAATTCTATTTAAGGCTAATTTTTTGTATCCTTTTATTTTTAATAATTTCATTAATTAATTACAAGTATGATCTAGATATATTTTAATTTTTTACATTTTATGAAAAATATTAATATTTAATTATAATATATATAAATATTTTCTTTTAAAACTGTGGTAATTTGTTTTTAAATATGGTAATATCTGAAAATAAAGTACTATATGATTGACTATATATATATATATATATATATATATTTGAAGTCTACATAATTTTCATCTTAACTTAAGGTAAAGATCATATTTAATTTTGAAGGTATATAATTTTTTTTATGAATTGATTTTCTTAATTGATTTTTAATATAATAATTAATATATTTATAATTCAATATTATTTATTTTATTTTATATTTTTTTTTGTTATCAAGCTAAGCACTTTCAAAATATGATGAATTAATAAAGGTATAGAAAGGAATGTAGAATATAAATTTAAGTAAAATATCAAATATTCTTGTAATTATAAAAATCTGTAGTATCTTATTTAGATATATATATATATATATATATATATATATATATATATATTTTTTATTTTAATAATAAAAATATTGTTCTTTTTAAAAACCAATACTTATAAGACAAGTATACAAGACGACTATGATGATGGTTATGAAAATGATGATTAAAGTAATTACTATTGGATGCATAACAATAAGATAAATTTGCAAATAAAATTATAAAAAATATATATTAGTAATATCAAACATGTGTATGTTGTAATTAATTGTTGAAAACAGTAATATATATCAAAATATTAATAAAACAAAATTATATTATTAAATAACTATTAGAAGTAGCATAATAGAAATAACTTGTTTAACAGAACAAAGTTGCAAAAGAAAATAACAACTTGAAAAAATAAAAGTGATCTTAACTAAATATTTAAAAATATATATATATATATATATATATATAGAGAGAGAGAGAGAGAAAATTAAGGAAGAAAATTCTTGTGGTACAAAAATGTACACACATTTATTTTATTTTTTTAATTTAAGATCATAAACAAGATTTTAGGCATATATAAAAAATAAATTATAAAAAACTTCCTATATAGACATCTATGTTTTATTGCATGGATATGCCCCCTTCCTATATACAAAATCTTTTATGTAATTACTATTCATAAAAATAAATTGAAAATTGTTTGAAAAGGTATACATGTTGCAAAAGGAAATGTCTACTCAGTGGTTTTTTCAAACAATCTTATTACTTTTGCTTCTATAGATTTAATCCATTTTCAAACTAACATAATTATAAATAATATATATAATATGAAGCATACTACTAATTAATTGCTTTTGTATTAAAAATCATAATAAAAAATTGAATAATATACTACAAAAAAATTGAATATAAAAATATCACACAATTAATTAGGAAGGTGAATAATAAGTTTTATATTTAATTTTTGGTTTTTCTTCATCATATTAGAACTACTACAAAACATTGAGATAAAAAAAACCCTTAGAGTGTTTCCTTATTAAGAGTCATTGTTATCATAAATTTTATTAATACTCATTAATATCTATTAAAATCATACATAGTTGATATTTTCTGTATAATAATTATCCACTTACTATGGGTATATAGATAGATACAACTTTTTTGTATAATATAAACATATATTTCAAAAATGAAGGGTAATTATGTTTTTGATTCGGGAACAAACAAGAATATCAAACATTTTTGGATTGGAAAAACTAAACAAAAAAAGTTCATTAAACACAAAATGTGAACAAAATGTGAACAAAATCTTCAAATATCCTTACGAAGACAAGTCATGGTTCCAATTCGATCTCCATCATTAATCTCCACAGTCATCCATCCATAAACCTAATTACATTCATCCAAAAATCCCATCCATCCAGGCATTAATTCATCCATCATTTGTACAGAAGGACCCCCACTTGTGTCAGGAAATATCCATCAACTGAATTATCATGCAGTTGGTTTTGTTTTATGCATAACGAATTTAGAGTCATACGTACGTACAAATGTGTTTCGTACATAAATATACGGTATATATTTTGTAGGCTAGCTGGATCCCAATACCATGGCAAGGCAGGCTGATATTATTTTTGAGACCTAGCCAGCATTAGAATCTACTTTTTAATTGGGACCCAGGACGTGTTGTTTCCTGAGGTCACCTGTTCAATCTTTTGTCCTCATTCACTCCCGCTTACTCAAATGGAAACTCACACATCAACACATTCATTTCTAGATTAACAACATGGATCTTGCAAATAAAAAGTAATTAGCGTAGATAAAAAAGAAGAAGTGGTTTTTGTAAATTAACGTATGCATGTACAAACAATATATGTAGAAAAATACTTGAAATTTAGTAACATTGTGATGTGGAGATTTATCTACGAATGATGTAACATTTTAGCAATGTCTCCCCTGTTTCCATGAAGGAAAAGTGTTGATCTGAGATTAGTTCATTGGGAAAACGAGTCATAACAGTAACAGCATGGTATTCTAGTTTTAAATTGGAGGAATTAACTAATCACAATCCCACTGTGAATCAAAACTCATTTAAAACACGTATGCACCATGAATTTGATCATCAAAATATTTATTTATTTATTGTGCAGCCAAAGAATGAATCATTTACCGGGAAAAGTGGTGGGAGCAGCGTCACCAAGGGAGGTAAAAAAAAAAAGAAAAAAAAAAGAAAAAAGAAAAAAACTCTGTTAGCCAACACGGATGAGAAACGTGGCGCACAAGTTGGCACCCTCATCGGCAATGAATGAACATGCCATTCATTCATCCATCCAGGGACATTCCAGGGGGGTGGGGTTTGTTTCCGCCCTTGTCGGGATAGTTAGCGCAGCACCTGCTGGTGCTGTGTGTGTCTTTTTCTGTGCCGTCGTAGATAACCTCAAGGGCTTGAAATAATTCCCCGAACAATTCGAAGATATGAACTAAGTAAGAGGGACTCAACGGGGTAGACGAAGGAGAAGAAGGTGAGATGATGAGGGAGAATTTGGAATAGTAGGGGGGGTGGGGAGGGCGAGTAATTTAGAAAAAAGAGGGGGACGGGGGATCAATCGGTGGGGATGAAGGAAACGCGGAAGGGAAGGGCAGCCCTAGTGGGCAGTGAAGGGGTGGCGAAGCTCCACGATCCGACGCTAGATGCATGCCCACCCAGCTGGGCCTGGCCTGGACTGGGGAGGGGAAGGAAGGCACCGAAGCCTCGAGAGAGAGCCAGCCTCGAGGGGGGTGGTGGTGGGGGCTTTGCAAGGGGTTTACATTGCATCTGCGTCACCGTCCTATTGTCCCCACATTGCTTCTTCACTACATCTGTTAGGAAGCGAGTGAGATCGCTGCAGTCTGCGCTGTGTGTTTAATCAGACTGCAGTCAGTGAGTGGTTCACTCTCTTCTCTCGTGTTAGGAGTGAGATCGAGAGAGCACGAGGGAGTGGGAGGTTACGCACTCTGCAAGATGGAGACGGCATCCATGGCTGCCACGGCGGGGAGCGCCACCATCGTTGGCGCCAAGCTCGCGGTGAATTATGGGGTGTCGCAGAGACGCGAACCTCAGCTTTCGTCGCGCGTTAGCTTGGGGCGTAATTCGGTGTTTGTTAGCAAGGCTGGAGTTTATAGCCGAGGCCCGAATGTGGGTTCCAGGAGGGTCGGGGCCTCGAAAAGAGTGGTGGCTGTGAACTCTGCTGCTGCTGCTTCTTCTTCTTCTTCTTCTTCTTCTGCCGTAGCCGTGCCGACTTCGAGCGACGGCCAGAAATCTGTGGCGAAGCCCACTGTGTTGGTGGCCGAGAAGCTGGGCGCCGCTGGTATCGAGCTGTTGGAGAAGATGGCGGTTGTGGATTGCTCCTACAATTTGTCTCAAGAGGATCTGTGTGCGAAGGTTGCGGAGTGTGATGCTTTGATCGTGCGCAGTGGCACGAAGGTTACTCGTGAAGTGTTCGAAGCCTCCAAAGGCCGCTTGAAGGTATTCACAACTCTCCTTTGGGGCCTCTCTTCCGACACTGGACCACCATTCCCCTGTCTTGGAAGTGCTCTGTTTATAAAAGAACCCTACTCATAGTTTTCTACCTTTTCTAGTCGTGATGTTGTGGTTTTGTAACCGGTGCCGATCGTTCTTGACTTTTCCAATGCTCTTCTAGGAATGGTGCATTCGATCCCTAGTGAGTCTGCATTCATTCTGGTCTTTAAGTGTGTATCTGAGTCTGTTGCCTGTCCATCAAAGCTGAACTTTGTGGCAGAATCTTTTGAATCTTTTTGCTAAGGTGGGGCCTGGTATTGGATATTCTGATGACTGAAATAGCCTGAGAATGACATTCCTTGTCATCTACCAGAGTAGGTGGTCCGTTCCCAGTTGTATTTCTGAAAGCTAGTTAGTTGGACGTTAAGCTGAGTTTATTATTCATGGATGGATATTTCAACCTTTTACAGGTGCTTAGATATCAAGCGACACTCTCTGGGATTATTTATTGCTCTCTTCTGTGATCGCTTTCTTTTAGAATACTCACCTCAAATGTTTTTGAAGCCAATTCTGGTTCTGTTTTCTCTTTTCTTTTAATTTTCTTAGTTTCTAATGTTTGGTTTTTTGAAATTCTTCATTGTGCAGGTTGTTGGAAGAGCTGGTGTGGGAATCGACAATGTTGACTTGCAAGCTGCCACTGAGGTTGGATGCTTGGTTGTCAATGCGCCTACTGCCAACACTGTGGCTGCTGCCGAGCACGGCATTTCCCTTCTGACTGCAATGGCCCGCAATGTTGCGCAGGCTAGCGCATCCATGAAGGCCGGTATGTGACTTTTTTTTTGCCATTTCCGTTGAATATCTTGGTTTCACCCGGGAAGAACGCTAGAGTCTAGTTGGGCGTGGATTGCAGGGCTAGTTATAAAAAAAAAAAAAAAAAAAAAAAAAAAAAGGACTCAACATCCTCGTCTAGAGGGTCTGTTGTATGTTGATTGATAAAGAGACACAGATGAATCGTCATAGTTTTAATCTGGGAGTGAGGGAATCTTGAGTTATATAGAGTCCAACATCCCTCGCACAGTCTCACCAAAATTCTGCAACATTTATGATAGTTTTATGTTTTATTCCTGTACAAATTCGTCTTTCGTGTTTTGAATATTGGAAGGATTGGGTGGCCTGTCGGGTAATCTAGTTGCCTGATGATATTGTTTTGTTCCGAGTTAAATTGACGATTAATAGAAACTGTTGTTGGATGCAGGGAAGTGGCAAAGGAACAAGTGGGTTGGTGTGTCCTTGGTAGACAAAACACTGGCTGTGATGGGATTCGGGAAGGTAGGCTCAGAAGTGGCTCGTAGGGCTAAGGGCTTGGGTATGACCGTTGTGGCCCACGACCCCTATGCTTCAGCTGAGCGCGCGAAGGCTTTGGGAGTGGAGTTGGTGAGCTTCGATGAAGCTCTTGCTGCTGCTGATTTCATCTCTCTTCACATGCCACTAACACCGACTACGGATAAAATTTTCAACGATGAAAGTTTCGGGAAGTGCAAGAAGGGTGTACGCATTGTCAATGTAGCACGAGGAGGCGTGATCGACGAGCCCGCGCTTGTTCGAGCTCTTGATGCTGGCATTGTAGCTCAGGTTGGTGCACGTTGTTAGATTGATGGAGCGAGTGACTAGCTACAGCTGATAGAACATTTTGCCTCACATTTTTGTGATCAAAATTGTGTCATCATTTTGGTTTAGGTGTTGGTTGCGAGTCATTAAAAATTGTGTAATTATTTCGGTTTTGTTTCGTTTTGTTCCTCAGTCATTTACATATTGCAATTCGCGTGAGTGGAATATTGCAATTCGCGTTGGAGTACTTAGATGTAACTGTATCATGTTGCAGGCTGCATTGGACGTGTTCACTGTGGAGCCTCCCAAGGAAGGCGATGCACTCGTGAACCACGAGAATGTAATTGTCACCCCTCACCTGGGAGCGAGCACCATGGAAGCTCAGGAAGGAGTCGCCGTTGAAATTGCTGAGGCAGTGGCTGGAGCTCTAGCAGGAGAGCTTTCAGCAACAGCTGTGAATGCACCTATGGTTCCCGCTGAGGTTGTAACACGAAACTCCGATTATTAATTTGTGAAAGTAGCGGGATTCCTTTAACGTCCGGGATATTTACTGGTGACTCATGAAGATGAATTATCTTGTCTTTGAGGCCGTTGAAGAACTCCCGTCATAACTGATGATGTGATACTGGCAATTACTTCGCTAATACTCCGTAACTGCTTGTTTTTCAGGTTATTACTGAATTGGCCCCATACGTGACCCTGGCCGAGAGATTGGGTAGACTTGCTGTGCAATTGGTTTCAGGCGGTGCTGGAGTGAAGCAGGTGAAGGTGGTGTATAGATCTGCTCGTGCTGATGACGACTTGGACACTCGGCTATTGAGAGCGATGATCACGAAAGGTTTGATCGAGCCAGTTTCGAGTGCATTCATCAACTTGGTTAACGCTGACTACGTTGCGAAGCAACGTGGTTTGAAGATTAGTGAGGAGCGACAGCCTACTGATGGTGCAATTGAAGTACCATTGGAGACTATTACGGTAGGTCTTGGAACAGCTCTCCTTGTGTTATAATGTTGACTTGTCTACTACATGTTGTTACGTGGTTACTTTGAAGAGGTAAGCCTTTCCTAATGCTTATTTCTGTGTCACCAGGTGACGATCGCAGGCGTTAAATCCAAATTTGCAAGTGCCATTTCGGGGAATGGATCAATTACTCTGGAAGGCAAGGTTAAGGATGGTGTGCCATATCTTTCAAAGGTAGGAGACTTCGGCGTGGACGTAAGCTTAGAAGACAGCATCATCCTGTGCCGGCAGGTAGACCAACCAGGCATGATTGGGAAGGTGGGTTCTATCTTGGGTCAAGAGAATGTGAACATTTCATTTATGAGCGTAGGACGAAAGTCACCCCGTCAGCATGCTGTGATGGCCATCGGTGTGGACGAGGAGCCCTCGAAGGTGACACTTCAGAAGCTAGGTGACATTCCGGCTGTTGAGGAGTTCGTGTTTCTCAAATTATGAGTTATAACTTAAGACATAGACGGTTCAGTTCTATAACTTGTAGTGAAGGGAGCATCTTCTAGGTATCTTGCTTACCTACCTGGATCCAATTTTTTCCCATATTTGTCTGATGTAAGCATTTTGAAATGCTTCGAAAATCGATGTGCTAGCTGGTAGTGGGAACTATTCAGAATGTAAAGCAGAAGCATTTTCCCCAAACAACCGAGATTTTTGATGGAATTCCTCTCACCTCATACAGTTTATTAAAAAAAATTAGTCTGTGGTTTGTTAATGCACTCCTTAAGCAGCCTAACTTGCACGTGCTTGATAAAATCCGCCCATTGACTAGGTCTTCCTCGAATCACTGGGAGATGGTACTCACCAAGTTCAAAGTCTTTGTTACACTGTTTGTCTAAAATGTTATGCTTCGCGTTAACGCTGCAAACAACAGTCCACCAAGAACTTGCACGACCAGCACAGCCAAGGATTGGTATTACACGCAAAGTTAAATGAACAAAGCATATCAGACAGAAGTTAGCTTCAGCTATAGAACCAAACATTTTGTACAAGAGTGCCTGTCTCATGGTTTTATTTGTTTGCTATGATATTTACTTCTGTGGTATTCCTTGTTGTTACTGCTCTGTGCCACCGTTCTTTATTAATGACGTAGAACTGCAGTAGTTTGCAGAAAACCCTCTAATTCTTGAAATACTCGTGAATGAAATGAGGGAAACATCAAACTGCATTACCATATTTAATGCGTCTGTTCTTCTTAAAACAAAAAACTATTATTAATGTTCTTAACTGGGTAGTGACAATAACACACTACTTGGTGTGGTCAATCCTGTACAGTGGATAGGGGACGTAGTTATTGTTTAAAAGCTACCTCAATAAATATTTTATATCTGATTGCTCTTCTATGGAAAATTTTGAAGAAGCATTTCTCTGTTACAGACAATGATGTTTTTGCGTGTGTGCATCCATCCAAAAAGTAGTCTATTTTTATGTGTCTATCCATTTATGAATTCATCCATTATTGCTAGTCAATTCTTATTTCAATTGAGTGCTCTAATAAATGAGAAAGGTAGAGAAAGACTCTTGGATTAACATTCAAGATTGATATTAAGAACTACATTCTATGAACTTAATTTGTATATACATTCTATATTAATTTGGATTTATCACTTGTTGTTGGTTTATTTTTTTATTTGTTTTTATGTTCTGTCTCTTTCTAATTTACATCTTGCCATGTTTGGACAATAATCTTTTTGCCTATTGTCTCTTGCTAGGCTATAGAGATATAATACACAAAATGTCATGTTAATATATATTGGCAATATCAAATGTAGATATTGTATATAAAGATGTAAGTTGCTACTAATAAGAACCATATTGGCAATTGGTACCAACATTTGTTTAATAGATAGATGAAAAAATAAAATAAAATGTAATTGACATTAAGCATAGTTTAATAGAGGCATGGTTTTTAGAAAGATCAATCTCAACAACATTATTTTTGTATTTAGCAGTGATAGATGTGTATTTCCATGATGATAAAAATACACATTGGACATGTGTATTTCCATGAGAGGTGGTGCCTTAAGAATAATGTGGTCTATTCTAACAACATGATTTATATTTTGTTCTTATTTAAATCACACACAACTGGAACTCCTCGCCAGCTAGATCCATTGTCCGTCCAAGTCAGCATCCACCTGGACACTCTGTCTGGCTTTCTGGCCATGCCCGAGAAGCCTGTCCCGGCGATTCCACCAACAGGCCGCGCTGTGTATGGAGCAGAGAGCGAGAGGTAGGTACCAAAAGCAAACGAGTGTCGAAACACGGCGTATGTGGACCTCACCAACTGAGAAGGAGAAGAAGGCTCACTGCAGCATCCAACCCGCCAAGGGGGGCTTCACAGACTGTGAGCTTCGAAGCATTGCAGAGTAGTAGTCCAGCGGGTGCCGAGATTCTCACAGCTCCAGCCTGTTCAACATCCAAAACCCACATAACTGTCCCAACACAAAAAACACAGATAGAGACACAGAGACAGAGATGACAGAGACGCAGTCTAGCTCCCAGTTGGCAACTGGTCCGGAAAGCATGCGCTAGTCCTCCCCCGCCCCCTTCCCCCCGAGGCGCGATTACTCGTCCGTCGTCAAGTGAGGCTTCATCAACGGATGCCGTGTGCTTCGTTCTGCCTCGCTGGAGTTGGACTCGGAAAGTCGCACTAGCCTTCAGTGGCGACCAGAAGAAGCCAGCTCCGAAGGAGCGTTAGGCGGCCTTAGATTTCCCTTGCATCTCCGGGTTGCCAGGTTTGATCTCCTCGCCCATCGCCACGCTCGCGTCTTGTTCCCTTGCTTGCTCTGTGTTAGGTGGAGTCCCCCCTCGCTGCGCTACATACCGTTTTAGTAGCATCCTGTTTTCCGCGTAATGGTGTTTTTCGGAGCGTCTAGTTTCGAAGACTCTCTGATTCCTTTGGCTCTGTGCAAGGAGTTTTTACAGTGATAAGATGGTGGTGTGAGAGTAGGAGCCGTTGGCGGTGATTTTTTAAGGGGCGAGGTTGAGTTTTGAGGATGGAGGAGTAGCTCTTGGAGATTTTCGGAAAAAGGGCAACGAGTGTTGATGTTTATCTATGGTTGACGGGTGGTGTTCTGTGCGGGAGGTTTAGCTGTTCGGATCTCGCGAAAAAGTGGAGTGGCTACAGGGGCTCGTTCCTTTGGTATAGGATTTTCCCACTTATTTTAAGAATGAAATTTAGATGAGTTTATTCGGGCATTTTCTTGAAGGGAGTTTCCTGTGAGTGCATGGGCTATTCTCGTTGTTCCCTGCGTTTTAATTATGAAAAATGTTCTCTTGGTGAAAATGACATGTGACTGTCTTTGCTGTGTTTTGGTTTTTAATTTTTGTGGCTGTAGTGGAAATGTTTTTATCACACGAGAATTACTCTAGGTTTTGCGAGGATGTATTGTTCCTCAGCTAGTTAGGAAAGGATTTCTCTCGAATGATTTCCGGTGATACCGATAACCCTGGATTCTATCTTGTGAAGCAGATTTCTCTTTGACTGCTGTTAAGCTACTTGGTGTCCTTACATTGATAGCTCATCTTGTCCAGGCCATGCTGCGATAGATTAGATCTCTTCACAATGACCAATTTATGCACTTAAAGAGTATGCATGAGGCCTCTAGTCGAAGAGCTGCTGTGCCTTTAAGGGCTAGTTCTTTATCCATATCTCTAGTTCTTCTTCTTCTTCTTCTTCTTCTGTCTTCGAATTTCCTGGCCTTCTATCCTCTAGCCTTCCTTTTGTTCTTAACACCGTTACATTTACCTTCTTTCACGGTCAACAACTGGTGCCTTGTGCACGTAAGTTGCTTTCTCTGCATCTCATATTTCATTATGTATTATGTCGTCATACATTTCTCGTATTTTCTTCGTTCATTTCCTAGATCTTCGTTTTCATGTAGCTTTGCGTCACTTACTGGTACTTACGTGTATCTTACAGAGTATGTGGCGATTCATCTTTTAGATGAAATGTTGAGCTGTAGGCTCTGCATTGTAATGATTCTGACATACTGAACTTCATGGTCTCTCTTTATAATATTCCATAAAAAACAAGCATTCGAATTTGCTATCTACAATGAAGTTCATGACATGGATTCAGGAGAGGGCGTCAAAGTCGATGCTATCGTTTCAGTTGCGTAAAGTCCTTTTATCGGAGTGTCTCTGGTTCCCGATGAAGCTATTCTTGCACCCTACAATTTGCTCTTATTCTAAATCATCACTTATGTGTATCAAACACAGACTTATTTGTGGTATTTCTGTATGCTAACTATCACCAATATTTATCCGACTTTATCACACTTCTTTTTGGTACGGCGTTCCTGATCCTTGTCGATGCTTTGTCTGTATGTAGAAGATCATTTCGGCGGCGGCGTCAAGGAGGCCGTAGTCGCTTGCTGTGTTTGACAACTACCACTCAGACAGGGCACGCGTGGAAAGCCGCATGGCCGGACTTAATTTCACTATTTTGGAGACTAGTGCTATTCCAGTATATAGCACCTTGGCACCTTGGCAGATTTCCGTGGTTGGTGCAATCTTTACTTGGTTGATTTTTGCACAGCTCACTGCCTTATCTAAGCATTTGCGGGCACTGGTACAACCATTTGTGCTCCGACATGTGGAAGAAGGGGTGCCGGTGGTCCTTGCTATTCAGGTACCTAATGCTAATCAGTTGCATCTAGAACCTGCTGTGCTTCAACCATTTTGAATAGTGCTCCTTTGGCATTAAATAAAGATCGTGGTGCAAAGGGAGTGTCTAGACCTACAATTGCACCGCCCATGCAATGAGGTAATTGCTGAGGTTAGGATGTTGTTATGTTTTCGTGTTTTGGTTATTCACAGTAGATTTCATAGTAAGGATACCGCGGGTTTCGAACTAATATCTGGTTCATGCCCTCCATATTTCCAGAAATACAGGCATCCGCAACTTGATTATTTCGTGGGGGTCCTTGCGACTTTAGTATCCACGGAATTTTATTCATTAGTGCTGCCCCTGCTTTTTTGGGTACGTTAATTACGGTTTTCAAAGCCATATACATTGTGGTTTTATGGTGCCACCCTCGCTTCTGTTGAACATACGTTATGCAGGCACTGTATTTTTTCTGACAGTCTAATGGAAAAATCCATATCAATATTTGTCTAATAGGACCAGAGGAGTAAAATATAAATGGAAAAATCCATATCAATATTTGTCTAATATTTGTCTAAGGACCAGAGGAGTAGTTGATGAGACTTTGGATGTTCCTTTTATTAGGTTTGTAGCTCTTTCAAGAGGACTCTCTTGGTTGTTGATATGTGACTGTCTAGGTGCGATTTTGACTGGTCAGCTGCTGTAGGCCAAGATGACAGTTAGTATTTGAATCATATAATTGTGCGAGTACTGGTAAGTTTATTCTAAATTAGTTTTCTTAGTGTTTGTATGCATGCAAGAGCGTCGGGTTTGTGATATCATATTCTTGTGTGTTATTTCTGCAGCATGGGCAAACAAAGCTTGCGAGGCAATTGACCTTATTAATGGCAACGTGCATCTATGTGGGCAATTGTGTTAAGGTACTGAGCTAGCAAAGCTGCCATCTTATGAAACAATTACTGCTCTTTAATCGTATGCAATTTGATGTCTGCGTTCTGCTTTTGGCAGTTGTGCGCTTTCGTATTAAGACTTAGGTTAAGGACGTTCTCATTAATGATCAATTTTAGGCTTATATTGGTCTTCATACAGAGGGAGCGTCTCATTTTGTGAAGCCTTTAAATTGGAGTTTTTTGGATTTGTATATCATACTATTCAAGTAACTTCCAGTGTTTGCATTCAAAGATGATTTTCTTTGCTAAAAGTTGAGTTGTTTCTGCTGAATTTTAGTACTTTTGTGAACTCTGGAAGGCCTTAACATTCAATCTGTTGGCAGGACGTTGTCTGTGCACCAAGACCACCACCTCCAGTGCACAGAGTTGTTTCGTCTGGAACTGAGGAAACTAGTGCTGAAGAGTATGGGTTACCTTCATCTCACACAATCAACATAATCTGCTTTGCAGGGTAAGAAGATAAGCTTTGTGGATTGTGGACTGAGCGTTTGCTTTCTTCTTGATCGGGAGTAGCGAAGGACTGTTCTGATTCTTGGTGTGCTAGTTGACACTAGCTTGTGTGTGTGTGTGTGTGCATTGAAACAGTTAAAATCTAGTCTGGATTACATTGAGTTCATTCTATCATATATTCATAATGCGATCTAAATTTTTTTATCTGAATTTGGAACTATCATGGTTTTTGAATATTAGGTATGTGCTCCATTATCTTAACGGCCAGCTTGTGGAGCCGAGAGCATTTGCCACCACCGCCGTTTTGTTTACCATAGTTGTATTGCTCGTCATTTCTGGTAAATACCACAACTGATTGTTATCCCACAAGAGTTTCATGGTAGATTGATATTGATATTCTGAGGTGCTTGAAACATCATGACGTTGCATTCTGAAACGATTACATTCTTCTCAGCTTTTTTCGGTCTTTGTTTGTTAACAAAAATGCTAAGATATTGTACTCTAATTTTAAAAAGCATATTTTCTTGATACAGGAAGGCTATACCTGGGGATGCATTCTCCAATAGATGTGTTAGCTGGGTGTACAATTGGAACCGTATTACTTCTTTGCTGGTGTTGTATCGACGAATATTTGGATGCCTATGTTACTAGCGGCGAGAATGGTAGGTTATGAACATATTAGTAGTTGGTTTATGGTAAATTCGGACGAGGAGTGTTCATGTCTTAGATGTTATGTATGAAGCTTTAAATATGATATAAATTTTTCATATTAGCTTTGAAATTAATTTGTCTAAAACAAGGTACTTGGCTAGTGGCTATATAGTTTGTTGATGTATAACTGATTTGGTATATATCGTGCAGGTTGTATTATTTTTATTATTTTAATGGTATTTAGAGTTCGGAATTTGAGTAAATCAGATGCATACTTTTGCTGATGGGTGACATGATTGATGTTGTTTGTGATGCAGTTGTTACATTTTGGGCAGCTATTGCCATTCTTGCTTTATATGCATATCCTACTCCAGAGTCACCTACTCCTTCCTTCGAGTATCATACGGCTTTCAACGGCGTTGCCTTCGGCATAGTAAGTTACCTGAGTTTCATGTATCTTTTCTGAAACGCTTTGTTTGGAATGTATATTTCTAGTTAAATATAATGGCCATATTTGATATAAATACTCATAGGACTGCACCTTTACGAGTCCTTATCCTTTTGATGCATTCTTTCTAGTGAATACATTCTCATCTAAAGAGCCCTTGATTTTTTGATATTAACCTGGATAAAATGCATCATTAATTTGCCTCACGAGCTTTGTTTCTGCAGCAGCATGTTTAGATTCCGTATCAAAACTAAAATCTTCTGTTTATTTATGCAGGTAAGTGGAGTACGTCGAACATTTTCACACTATCCTTCTGAACTTGCATCAGAATTGCCACTCGCCCCTGCACATATTGGTTTGAAGACGGCACTTGGCATAGTCACGATCTTTGCCGCCAAAGAAGGGAGCAAGTACCTGGCGACGATTTTTCTTCCCTTTCTTTGTAGCCTGTTAGAGACGTTGTTTGGTTTCCGTTTCCGTTCAACTTCATATGTGAAATCTATGAGGAAAGGGGTTGAAGATGGTACGAAGGCCTCGGTAGAGAAGTTCGGCGGTGCAACAAAGACTTTTTGCAAGATTGATGACCCGATGGATGTTGACACCGGTATTAGATCAGTGCAATATGCCACAATGGGATGGGCAGTTGTCGAACTTGTCCCATGTGTGTTTTCTCTTTTCGCTTTGTAACACCACTCTAGGATGTGCTTCGTTTAGGACGTCGCCAATTGGAACTAGTTCTTACGGCATAGACGGTTTTGACCTGTTGAGCTGTATAAATGTGAAACTCGCATTCTTGTAACAATACTATTTTATGCAATAGTACGATTCTTTCGGGTGTCTATGTACACCCACGATATTATACAGGAGAAAATTGACTACATTTACTGTACCTCTCTTGACATTCCAGCATACCCAGGAGGTTGAGAGCAGGACATGACATTGTTTTGAGATTTTTTCGCTAAAATTGTAGATATGGAGTAGTCGTGCTTGTTTTTCTTTTGTCCTGAGGTTTGATCTGGTTCACTTCTGGTTTACACAAATTTGAGAAGCGACGGTGGTTAATCTAATGATGCACCTCAGCTCAAGGACAATGCCGACACATGTGCCTTGTGAACACATTTCATCGTTCAATTAGATTCTGCACTAAAGTGTCAAGGCAGTGAGCTATCTCTCTGGGATGGATTGACATGGTACAGTGATCCTAGAGCTACGGCGAATCACAGAATCTCTAACTGTATATAACAGGGGTAGGAACCGTTCTTTTCATTTGAGAAGTTTTCCTTGTGAAAGTTGTGTGGTCCGACAGGATAAATTCATTTCTTGATTTTTGAGACAAGACATTCTTCGGACATAGCTCCGGGAAAACCGTTGAAAACGATTGAAAATGGATGATGCGATGCATCACATGTTGAGCAACGATCTAATAGAAACTGCGTGGAGTCCAAATCTTGATGCTTTTAGACTGGAGCATCCAGCCTCGGATTGAAAGGGAATCCAATAGTAGATCTGTAGTCCTCAATGTCGGTAAGCAAAGGGCAGCTTGGCACCCATCGCCATGACCGCTTCGAGAAGTCGTAGATCAACGCGTGCGGGCACTTGTAACTTGTTAGGCAAATGAGGTCGTTGTGTCCAACGCACATGAAATCTCCATTCCTCGAGTCTTTCAGGAATCTCTTACACAGCGTGTGAGGCATCCGAACGATCTCCACCCAATTCATTGTGCTCTGTTCAAGCTCCCATATCCTGATGTTCTTCGGGATGGCATGCTTCTTCAACCCCCCCACCATGAGGAGACGCCGTTGGCATCCCACCAGGTGAGGCGAAGTGAGGAAGGAGGGCATCGGAGCCCGGACCACACTCCAAACTCCGTGTTGCATGTTAAAAGCTATGACCCCGTATGGATCCCGGGTGACCCAGAAATGGAAGCCGTTGCAGAATGCATTGCGGAGCGTGTAGTTTGCAATCGGCAAGTGATTTCCAGTTATGCGCCAGGTATTCGATGTGGAGTCGTAAACCTCTGTTCTGACGTTGTCTTCGTAGTAGTCTCCAGCGACCACAATCTTGTAAGCTCGTGTCTGCGGGTCGACCACCATGCCTACGAGATTTGGAAACCTCTTGTGTAGCATGGGAGGCAACTCCCTCCATCTACGACAGCAGGCTTTCTTTTAGGTTAATGTTGACTTGTTGGAGCCATGAAAGGCCATGAATGCAGACCTCACTGCTGATGAAACTCTCCTCCTGAACGTTTCCCATACTCATTTTGCAACATCATGCAACTTCCATGCCAGCTGATTGGAGACCACAGGGGACAAAAGGAAACTCAATGTGAAAAACAAGTGCTCATGCGAACCCGATAAAAAATTTGATGAAACCACAACAGCAGATTCACATACTCCGGTGAGATTATGCTCACTCGCCATTCTCTTCTGTTTTGCAGAATTCTAGTCACAAAAACCAGTCGTTTTTTACTGAAGAATCATGGACACTAAGCATCACGGACACATTGTTGCTGAACATGATGTCCCCCGAATAACCAGCGGCTTTCGAAGACTAGTCATACGACTAGTTCAATCAATCATTAAAGCACTAATTCCCATCAATGAATAATTTCATACAAAGCTAGAGCAAAATGATGGCAACTTAGGGACAGTATGTGGGATTAATCAGAGATTAGAGTTCACACAAACACTGGTCACAGGAATAAACACCATGCAAGGATGCTCAAAAGCAGGGTTGAAGAAAATGGTACCTGCGAGTCACAGGGTTGCACACTGACAAACTGGGGTAGGCACTTACGCCACAAAAGCAAAGCAAGCCCCCAGCTGCGGCGCAAGGGAACTTGGTCTCATAGTGAAAAAATGTGAAGGGAATCCGGTGCCAGCGGTTAGATGCAGGGTTATACACAGAGCACATGCTACGGTCCTTGGCCTCAAACATCAAGAAGCATGGCTCTGGTGATGGAACCCGCCGGTACATTTCCAAGAAACTGTGGGAGTACATTACAGAGTTCCACCTAGCAGGATCAAAAAGAAAACAAAGAAAAAAGAAGGTTACATACCATAGATTCAAAGCAATTGATCAAAGTAGTTTTGCGATAACCAGCTACAGCAGATAACGCCCTCCACAGACTGTAATCAAGTCACACAAGCGCAAAGAACTTTTCAAGTTCTAAACTAGACAAGAAGATAACGGAATCTAAGAAAAGAAGACGAAAACCCAAAAAAACCAAAACAGCACTGAGCATAATCTTAGATTTAATTTCTTATGAGTGGGGAGGGCGAGACACATTGCAATTTATCAGATGCCGGAAGTAGCTGTCGAGCAACCAGTTTCATGTAAGACATGATCAAAACAACTACTCAGAGAAGGAGCATGACAGGGACAGGTCATTCGAATACGGTGTGGATTGAAGCATCCATGCAAGAGGTTGAGAAAGTAAATGATGCAGTTTTTGACAGTTATACCGTTTGCAGACTGTGCAAGCCCGTGCGAAAGCGGGAAACGGCAGCCAGGCCAAAATACGGTCCTGCAAGTCTTCGGGAAGCGATCCCCACAGTCCTCCATCCAGTTGTGTAGCCGAGTCACCCTGCTCAGCTTCCATTTGCGTTGTTCCGGCAGCAGCGCCATCCTCTTCCTCCCCCTTTCCGTCCTCTGAAACGAGACCAGCAGCTGCCTGTGAATCCCCGATCGAGGTTCGTCTGTGGCTGCTACCTTCTAGATATAATTCTTGCGAGGTGCTACTCATGATGTTATATTGCAATCGCTGAACAAAAGTCCATATTCCTGGTTTCTTTCGTGCCTTCCCACGAGAGTGATAAATTATTTACTACACTAACCTTTCTCCGTGCTGCCATGCATAGCCGAGGTCTGCTTCACTTCTTGTGATGGGAAAATTTTCGAGAGGTACAACTAATACCATATCAGCTCCTATGCATTCCCACCAACTAAGCAATGCTACAATCAGATCTCTATGAGTACTAACCGCACATTATTGTGATTGCGCTCCAGAAACCCAGTACCATACCTCCTCTTCCGACTTCTAAGAGGTCTTGCTCTGATCCACTTCTTTCCTCTTCGTGCAATGCACAGTTCTGCCTGACTGGGTAACATGAGCCACTTCCAATCATGTCAATTTCATCACAACGTCTTTCTCCGCCAATGTCAAAATAGTCCTACAACGTATCAGTAGCACCGCTCGCTCTTTGCAGATTTGTTATCATTCCTGAGTGCTAAGTTTCGCTAGCGCTGATGGAATATCTAAACCGAAGTATTGCCATCACTTGGCTGTGAAATCAATTACACTCTTTTTGCCTAACTCCGTGTGGAGCGAACCCAAACCGTGGATGCAGCAGTTGGGAGGGAATTTTTTTTTTCGAGTGGAGGGATGCAGGCGCATCAGAAGGGGAGACGAAAGGACGCACTCTCACGTAAGAGGGAAGCAGTTGGGAGATGAACAGGTGCATCAAAAGGGCACAATATCCAGTTATGAGTTTAAGATCGACACGAAAATCAGCTTATTCTGTGTCAATCTACGAAAGGGGATTTCCAAATGTGAGAATTCTTGGTTTCGATCCATGGTGTCCATAAGAGCCAGAAATATTTCTAGACATGACGCCGCCTTTTTGCTCAGTATGGGTAACATTCGGTCGGTTCAGTTTATGTAAGAAGCCTTTGCTTACTTACATGTACTCTGATTAGCACTTCTAAACAGGAGAATTTATACTGTTACAAGAGGTAAGCTACGTCTTTCAGTTTGAACTTAGAGACGTGGAGCTTTCTTAATCTCCAATTGCTTTTAATCTCATTAAGTTTATCCCGTAACAAGTGTCATTACTCAGGGTGTTGTAATCAAAACTTATGATATACTTGTCCCCTCCAGTTTCTGTCGTAAGGGGAAAGTTGGTGCTAATAAGCCATGGCAAGTTACTCTTCTGACTCTCATAATTCTCACCTCCTCTGTCGATAGTGAAATTGGCTGATTGTATTAGCAATGCACTACCTCTTTGATGTGGTAATCAACTTCTTGTGGTCTCTCTTCGAGCTCCTGGCTTCTGATGTGAGAGCGCTATACGGTGTCCTTGGGGCAATTAGCCATGAGGTCTCAAGGGGGGACAACATAATGAACGGGGTGGAACTTCTAATCGTGCCGTGCGAAGAAGAGCTTCTGCAGCAGGTGTCAAAGGAATACGGAGTCGTCCCCAAGTTGATTTTAGGGCACGCCAAGTGAATGAGTTCCCTGGAAACGTCCATAGGGCTTTTCAAACCAGGGTAGAAGCAAAATTCTTTCTATCCCATTTCGAAAAACTACAGACCTCTTGTGGCTAGAAGTTCTAGCCTAGAGCAAACTATTTCGTTCCTCCTAGTGTGGAACTACTTGTACAATTGCCTGATGTCATGTAAGACCTATGCAATGACATTCCTTATCGACTTGACTCCCATGGAATTTCTGTGCTTCTCAAAGACTAAACGGCCTCGGGATTTCGCGAGAATATCTGCTGTCTGCTGCTGGGAGCTAACGTGCTGTTTCTGAATGCCTTCTTCTATACCTTGCTCACGCACATAATGGTGGTGTTACTCTATGTGCTTTGATCGGGCATGAAAGACTGAGTTTTTTGCAAGTTTAATAGTTCTAACGTTATCGCAGTTGAGATGAATATCAATTTCAGTAGGTGAGGTAGCAGCGCGCAGATAATGATTCTTTTGGGAGATGAATAGCCTCTTTTGCTCCTTCCACAAGGCTCTATATTCTGCTTCAGTAGTTGATAGAGCAACGGTGGGTTGTTTCTTGCTGGCCGAAGAGGTGGCGCCCCCTGCCGGTGAGAAAGTGAACCCCCAGTGCTGCGACATGAGTCTTTACAGGCAGCCCAGTCTGCATCCGTGAAACCTTCAAATTGAGTGATAGGCTGGCTGTGAGTGAAACCAATAGGAGAATATGCTGCGTGAGGATTTTTGGAGTGGACGATGCCAAAATCAAGGGTATCCTTGAGGTACCTGAGGATGTGTATGACCGCATTCCAATGTCGCTCCTGTGTGTTAGCCATGAATCTACTAACAAAACTAACTGAACAGGCAAGGTCAGGTCGAGTATCCATGAGATAAAGTGATTAGCCTACCGAATGGCAGTAGGTCAATTGATCAAATGAAAGAGATTCAGAATCAAGCGCCAAAGATGAATTTTTCAGGTAGAGGAGTAGAAGCATGCCCACAATCTTCGAGCTGAGCTTCAGATAGGATCTGCCGAGAATAAAGCTGTTGATGGATCATAATTCCAGATTTCAGCATAAGAAATTCAAACCCAAGGGACCGTTTGATGAGTTCTAAGGTTTTCATTTCACATTACAAATAGAATTAAGCCGTAATAACAACAATTTTTGAGTCAAAATTGCTTGTCAGTTGCAGGTCGTCAACATAGAGAAGGACAACAACAATATCAGAGCGGTTCCGCAAATAGTAGAGGTTATAATCAACAATGCTGCGAGACCAATTTTGAGCTAGTATATACAAATTGATTTTAGCGTACCAAGCTCTGGGGCTTAGTTTTAGCCCATAAATTGAGCCGTTCAATTTGCACACTAGGTTTTCTTTCCGAGGTGAAATGAATTCGTCAGGTTGCTGCACACAGATGGATTCCTCTAGTTTTCCATTGAGAAATGCCCTTACTACATCAAGATGCACAATGTTCCATTCAAAACAAGCTGCCCATGAGATGGCTGTTTGCAGCGTAGACCATCTCACTACAAATGCAAAAGTTTCAGAATAGTCAAGTCTAGGCTTATGTTCAAAGCCCCTGGCTACTAGTCGAGTTTTAAGATGTCGTTAGAGAGGATGCAAGTCGAGTTTCACCAGGAGGACCCAGCAACTAGATGAAGCTTTCCGTCCTAGGAGCAAAGGAACTAATTTCCAAGTTTTATTTTTATTGAGAGAATGTAGTTTCTGAATAATTGTATCTCTCCAATGAGGGTGCAATGAATAATTGTATCTCTCCAATTGTATCTCTCCAATGAGGAGTGCATCTTAAAATGATACATTGTCTTTGAAGCTTTCCAGGATATCCTCAGAACATGCTGAAGAATTGGAAGCACTGAGATACAAATAATAGTCTTTGTATATGGATGGTAATCCTAATGTATAATAAGGACTGAGCTATGGTGGTGAAACCGGAGACGAGTGGAAGTGACCCTTGAGGTGAAATTGGTGGAGACTAGTTGTAGAAGTTGTCAGTAAGTGCATGCGGACCTGGTGATAAAATAGTTGGCACAATGTTAGTCTTGGCCTGGTCCTGAGCAATAGAAGGTAGTAAAACTTAAGAAGGTGTTGATTTGTGACAAAAAACCTAGTTAGTGTAGGCATTTGTCAGAAGAAGGGAAAAGATAATAAATGGCACAGGAGTGTGAATGTTGTTTGGATATTTCTTAAAAATGACACATCTCAATTAATTAACATTTTCCTTATGAAGTTATAATACACATATGCTTTAAAAATCTCATCATTGGCAATTATAATAGAAAGAATGAATTTGAATTTAAGCTTAGTTTGTCATTTTTTTAGATATATGGAAAAAGATTTGTTATCCAATGATAGCTAGATGTCTAATATTTGGTTTTGATTTGTAAAGGTATTCAAACAGTATAGCATTTTTTAGATTTTTTTAATGTTGTACCTATTTTAGAAGTAATTTGCAATGTCATATTATGTATTGTTTCATTTAAAAATGTTCTTTGCACTTGATTGTAAAAAGTAAATTTGTATTTTTCAATTAAGTAAGAATCCAATAATTTTAATCAAACCTTAAATAAACTCCAATTGAATCTTAGCAATTGTAATAAAAACTTTAAAAAACCTTAAAAGAATTATAAAGAAATATTAAAGAATCTTAAAGAAATCATAAATAAAAACTTATTAAACCTAATCAAATCCTAAGTAAGTTCTAAAAAATCCTAATGAAATATAAAATCTTAATCTTAAACAAATTGAATTTTTAGATCAAGTCAAGAAGGTTCATTGTAACTTGTTTCCTACCTATTTTGCAAAAATATGTTACAACATAAGTTGTTGCAAAACCATACAAATGATTCATATATTTTATAATTTGATTTTGGTATATATAATATAGAAGATCACTCATGCACCTTGAAAACATTAAAATCCAATAACTACCTCAGTATGATATATGAATTGAAAAAGCTTTCTTATAAATTATGTAAAAAACTAATTCTATGGATCTAATACTTCAACATCAACATTGGACTAGATTGGCCATGCCAACTGTATTGCAACTAGGATCTAAAACACTTGACACATTCATGTAATCTCACTCTCTAAATCCTAATTATTTTTTAATAATAGGATTATAGATAAAGATGTAGATAGAGTGATATTAAAAAAAACCAATGGTCGTGGATATTAAAAGATAAAAAGTGTATATAGATTGTGTTAAAATAATTTATTAATTTATTAGATAATATGGTGCAAATTAGCATAATTATGTACAATCTATTATATAAGTTTAAAATACAAATTATATACTTTTAAGTCATTTTTATATATAATATATTAAAAAATTAGTCTAAATATGATAATTTGCAACTACAAGATATATATATATATATATATATATATATTTATATAAGTTATATATTTCATTGTCATTATGTAAATAAATCTATATAATTTTATTTATTTATATATATTGTATAAAAGATAAATTTATAATTTAAAAAATCTTATATCTTATTAAATACATAAATTTTAAAGATTTTAAATATATAATTTAAATCAAAATTATTACAAATAAAAAATATTTTAATTTAAAATCTTAAAAAGATAAAGCTAAAAAAAATCCACAAAAATAACATTAAGTTAAAGACCTTATATCTAGAAATTAAAAAACCTATACAATATTCTAAGTCAACTACTAGATTTGTAGAATCTAGAAATAAAAAAATCAGTCAAATAAAAACTTATAAAATTCTATTTATTTTTAACTTAAATTTTAAAATAGTAAAACCTTTAATATATATAAATTTATACTCTTTTAGAATAATTTAGTGACATATTTAGCATAGACAACTCTCAAATAGAACTAATAATATTTTTAAAACTCTTAAAAATTCTCCAATAAAAAAAAAAGAAATCTAAAGCCCAAGTCAAGATTGCTATATCTTGCAAATTAAGATCTTGTAGAACAAGTTATTTAAACCATCAAAATTACACACAACAAAAAATGGAAGGATAAGTTAAGTCAAAATCAAAAAATAAAGAGATCAAAATACTAGTATTGTATTGTAATACAACTATTGGTTGAAAGAAAAAAATATGCATTACATTGTAGAATATATCAATTAAAAAAATAATAAAAAAATAAGTAAAAAATAAGGAGGTAGTAA